CTCACAGTACTCACCCCTCACCCAGCTAGGCTGCCCCAGGATTTAGCAATCAAAGAGTGAAGGCCTAGCTCAGTGGGGAGAGGGTTCCTGCAGGGCGGTGCTCCAGGAGGAGGTCTGTCTGATTGGTACCATCCCAGGCCATACAGATACTTCACAGATCAGCCCTGCCAGGCTAAGGCACTATGCTTCATCAGTAGCAGAGAGAAACCCCTGCCGTATGCTCAGCATCATTTAAAAACCTTTGTGATTCCAAAAGAAGATGCACTCACATTCCCAGGCCAAGACTTTGATGGATGAGTTGGAAGGTAGTAAAGAGGGGCTAGAGACATTACACTTTCAGTTCATGTCTATAAGATCTGGCTAAGATGCTCATCGTTCATACAGTGGGTGTCCACCCGAGTCCATGGGCAGTTCTGAGACACCGGGTGAGTCAGAAGGCAGAAGGCAGGTGACTTGGAGAAATACTATGCATTTAAAGTAAAATATACAGAGTAATGCATTTTTGTGAATGTACTCAAGTATACAGCACATCTAAGTCTGCATGTGGTTATTTATAGATATGTCTATATGTGTAAGTACACATGTACCTAGAAATACAAAAAAATGAACTGGTTACCAGCCTTTAAGACAGTGTTATCATTTAACACAGTGGCTGCCAATTTGGCCATGTATGGGATATGGATTTGTTTGGGAATGGCCCTTGGCAGAAGGGTTGGTATTTAGAAACCACAGAGACATGAAAAAGAAAAGGTACAGAGGGAAACTAAGACAAGAGAATTGGCAAATGCATGCTGGGCCCAGGCCAATATCTACCTCCTATGAGAACAGGGTAGGACCAGGGCAGATGTGGTAGTTAACATAGTTTTCCTCGTATCTGCCATGTTTAATCCGTTCTAAGAATAAAACATTCAATGAAAATATCAGATGCTGAATAGTTGGAATAGTAGGAATGTGAGTGTTGGCTTATTCAGTCATCTTTGTATTTTTCTGTACATCTTACTTCTCAGAAGATAATGGAGATCATTCCAATTGTTTCTCCACATCTATGTGCCTGTTGCCCTCAGGTGCAGATGGCAGGAACTGTTTGTGAGCATCTTCCAATCCTCCTCCACTCCACAAGTCCCTAGATTTCTAAATTAGCCCAGACTAGCCCTTTGCAGATTAATAAACTGATTTTTAATGATTAAAACTAATATAAATAAGGCCTATTAGATCACAAAAACTTGAGAGGTTAAGGCAAGAAGATTATTAATTCAAAGATTGCCTGGACTACATAGCAAATTAGAGTCCAGCCTGGGCTACACAGTAAGACCTTCAGGGAAAAAAAACACAGCAAATGAAATGCATAAAACGGATGCTGTTCTTTTCTAAGTTCAAGCATCCGTCAAATGCAGCAAGAAGTTTCTGGCATGCTGGGCTGAGTGATCGATGGGTTCTGCCATAAGTTACTCCTGGGCTAGGAGGACAGACAGATGATATGTGAGGGGGAAAAAATGAGAATGCACTGTGGGCAGTGTGTAATAAGGACATTTTTACTACTGCATACTGTCTGAAACAAAGAGGTTCATGATGGAGTCTTAGGGGGCTATATTTTCACGAAAAGACGTTAAAAGGGGTCTGGAAAGACTAATACATCAAGAAAAGAAATAAGAGGGAAATCGAAGACATGGAAACCCTTTCTATGCCAGTGTTCGGGTGTAGAGCCCAGTGTCCTTAAAGACAATGTGCTATAGGCTTGGACACCAGCCTGTGGCACTAATGGGAAGTGGCAGAGCCTTGTTTGGGTCGAGCCTAGGAGGAGGAAGTTTAGTCATTAGCAATATGACTTGAATAGATACTGAGATCTCAGTCTCCTCTGTCTTTCTCTTGGCTTCTACGCCACTATGAGGTGAGTAGGCACCCCCTCCATGCACCTACACATGGATCGAGTGTCAGGGAACTGAAAGTCCCCCAAACCACGATCCCAAAATAGTGTTTCCTCCAATATGTTGATTTCCTAAAGTATTTTATCACAGCCATGGGGAGCTAACTAACACGATCAATTGTCTACAAATTACAGCATGCAGCAACCCATAGCTAAGTAGTAGTATTCTTAACTTACACTTAAGGAAATAGGTGCTCTGAGAAAGTAAGCAACTGTATGAAAGCCGAAAGGCGAATATGGATTCTCACCCAGATGTGAAACGTTCAAGCCTAAAAAGAGTGTTATGTAAAGAGACGGGGTTCACCTAAGGCAGAATTGGGAGCCTTCCAGTACACATGCTGTCACTCCCCTCCCCTAGATCTGGATACTCAGTGTGATAAGCTCTACTATCAACTCGACTGGCTTTAGAATCACCTAGGAGATTGAGGTACATCTTTGATGTGTCAGTAAATACGTCTCAGAAAGAATTGAGGAAGAATAACCCACTTAGAATATGAGTGGCATCATCCCACGGTCCGAATGTTTAAAAGAGGTGATTAATCTCTCCATCAAGGGGAGCTGAGAGGTAAGTAGCCCCAGCCATATGTTCCTGCCACTGTGAACTCTATCAGACCCTCCAACCATGATGAAATTCAAAATATGAATCAAAAAAAAATCTTGGTAGTGATCTGGTCATAGCAACTAAAATTGAAAGAAACTGATATATTCATTGACAACCAAAGACCAAAATTATTTGTGGCATGTGGTAACTGTTTATTGATTCTTTTTTGGTCTGGTTTTTCGAGACAGGGTTTCTCTGTGTAGTTTTGGTGCCTGTCCTGGATCTCACTCTGTAGACCAGGCTGGCCTTGAACGCACAGAGATCTGCCTGGCTCTGCCTCCTGAGTGCTGGGATTAAAGGCATGAGCCACCACCACCCCGCTGTTTATTGATTCTAAAATGAGATGAAATCTAACTAAAATGGAATATGATCAAGATCAGAGAGATGCAAGATTCTAAATAGTCAGTCTTGATCACACCATCTCTCTTCATTTGCCCCTAGCTTCAAGATGCCTGACTTTAGAGAAGGAGATGTTTTACTTCTGCCTATGGGGACACATCCTCCTTGACATACCAGGACTAAATAAGGCAGCTCAGCCTGGAAAAGGAGATCAAGGGATGGGAGATGCGGAGGACAGCTGAGGGGAGGCACCGCCCTGGATGCTGCCTAATCCATCCAACATGGGACACACTGTTCCAGAAACAGGATGACAATTAATAGGGAAAATCTGCTCTCACATCACTGCCAAGCATGTTTCAGGGTCTCAGCTGCTGGTGTGCCTCCTTGGGGGAAGAACAATAATGCCCCCTTCTTCCTTTTGGTCCACATCCTGATGCTTTCTTATAGAGGATAAGGGAAAAGTTGCAGAAAAAAAATAGCATCAGTGCCCATAGCCAAGAGCCCAAGAATTACCCAAGACAGAAGGCTTTGAGTCCCTCAGCAGCCCTTCCATCTAAACCCCTGGAGCTCTGCTTGACAAATGGTAAGTGCTGGCAGAAAAAGTGTCTTCAATCAAAGTGCCTAAGAGTAGTCTGGACTTGTTTGAGCCATTAAAAACCTATTTCCTCTTTGGAAATTACCAGCATATGTATTTCTCTTGGTCAAAATATTTCAAATTATTCACAAACACTGGAGATATAATTCAAAGGTAGAACAATTACCCACCATGGGTGAGCCCCCTAGGTTCAATCCTGACTCCCCCAAAATAGGAAGAGAGGAAGAAAGAAAAGACTGAAGGAAAGGAGAGGAACAAGAAAGAGAGGAGGAAGGAGAGGGGGCAGGAAGTAGGAAAGAGAGAAGGATGAAGAGAGGAAGGCCAAGAAAGAAAAGGAACATTGGCTTGCCTTCATCCATGACGTGTTCAAATTCATCAAAAGCAAACAGTTCGGAGGCAGAAGACTCCAGGAAGACTAGTCTATCTGGCCCCACATTTCAACCCTCTAGTCATCTCTGCGTAGCTTCCTAGATGCCAGTGCTCTTAATGTTTAAGGGATGCCCAGAATCTTGAGAATATAATTAAATCTAGCTCCTTTTATGGACAAATACTCAACCCTTCACCATGTGCAGTCCCTCAAACATTTACTTTTGCATATGAATCCGTGGGATTCTGTTCCTGTGAGTGTCACTCGTGTTTTAATCCCTGAGCCCCAAAGTCGGCACACCCACCACAGAAACTAGCTTCCAGTATTAAAGCCTTGGAAGTTCGTCTTTGTGGATTTCATAATGTCACCAGCAAACATCAGCATGAATGTGGCCCAAGTAATCTTTAACTCTCCCTCCCTACCCACCTCTGCCAACATCAGCCATGCATGACAGCCCCAGCTGGGAAGACATCTTGAAATTAAGGTTTCAGTTCTGGAACCCATGGTAGCCAGTTTCTTTCCAATCATTTGTCCACATCTCTGAGCCCAGCTAGGGGGATGCAAAGTCACCATGTTAACCCTTTTCATGCCAGACGCCTCACAGGAGTTTTGGCCGAGCACCACATCCCAGCCCTCCACTTCTGCCATAGCGGGGTCGAATACTCTGTACATGGAAGCCCGCCAGCAGGTTTAGAAGCTGTGTTGCTCTTGGCATCCATTCCAGGACTCTGTGCAGAGAGCTCCGTGCTGAGATACAGCAGCACGGGCAGCTTTTCAATACCAGAGTTCACCACCTTCCCTCTCACTGTGCTAAGTCACAACAAGATTCCAAAGATAGGTACAGACAAGAGAAAAAACTCCCTCAAATGCAGAGTCCCTTAGACGGCCACTAATGAAGAGAATTGACATTTGTCTCAAACCATCCTCATCACACACATCCATCTGAGCAACCAGTAGTTTTCAGCATCCCTATTTGGTTCCCAAGACCCCAACACAGTCTTTGGTCCATAATTACCCAGAATAGGGTATAGATAGGGGGTCTCTACCAGGGCTACTGAGATCCAATGACCAGAGGCTTCCTCTGAGGGTACACGAAAGTGAAAACAGTGTCTTGTGATGAAAAGGAGCTATGCTCCCACTATGGAACTCTTGAAACTAACAAGTGCCACCTTACCCTTCATTCCAAATTTGGACCGGCGACCATACTTGTTGATCATGATAAAGAGAACCACCAGAAGAACACAAGCAAAGGCAGCAAGTCCGACTGCTATGGAGACCTATAAGGAGCCAAACACAGACAGTCAGGAGCAGGGACCGGAAGCCTCGGAGCCTCAAAAGTAATGCGTGCACCCAGTGAGAACAAACCAGTTTGGGCAGAAGAGGGTCCTCTAAAACCTCTGCTACTGAGGGGTGCGCAACCTGAAGCCTACGTGCCACGTGCACCCCAGGACACCTATGCATATGACAATGCCATGTCAAACTACTGGGCAACCCTGGAGTAAAGGCTTCAGAAGTAGTCTATGAGATTCTAAGAGAATCTTAAAATTTTTTATTTAAAAAAATATAAATTAATAAGCTGGATTAGGGCAAGTTCCCTGATTCTAGAATTGCAATACCAAGCTGAGAGAAACCTTGGTCTGTTGTTTTAATTAGTAAGTAAATTTTAATTAGTAAGTAAATTCTCTATCTTTCCACCAAAACCTTTTCATAGTATTTCTACTCAGAGTGGTCTAACAGTTCTGGACTCAACAGACGCCTTTCTGCTTCTTCCCAGGAAAACCTCAGACCCTGAGGCAGGCATGGGAAAACCTATCCAAGGAGATTCTCTGAGTAATCTGGGGTTTTGCAGAAGGTTTGCCCAGTCAGTAGGCCTTGCAAGCCTGCTGGGCCTGGCTTGGAACAGACTGGGAATTTCAAACTGCTCTCTTCCTGGCCGTGGGGCTTGGAGTTGATCCTCAAAGGCTTCTTCAAACAATGAGATACTCCCATCAAACATGGACAGTTTAAAAAAAAAACTCAAAGGAAATCATTCCTCACTGTTGTTTTTTTTTCCTCCCATTGGTACTGAGGCTCCAAGTGAGAGACCATGTGGAGAAGTTAGCACCTCAGATGAAGTCTGAAAATGACTCTACCCTCCAGTATTTTCCTCTTAATCAGGAAGTAACTTACCCCAAATGTGTCTTCCTCTGGTTTGTGGGTCACAGTGATGGGAGGTGTGGGGCTTGCGTCAGACTCTGAAAAAAATGATACAAAAGAAAGGAGAGCAGTTAGCTTGCTAGCCAAAAGCCCCAGCTAAGGGCCTGCCCTGTCCTTGGGAAGCAGGTCCCTAGAGCCACCCCCCTAGCTGAGCAGACACCCTCCAGAGACAGAGTGAGTCCCAGTACAGCTACCTGCCTCAGTGCTACCAAAAAAAAAAATCTCAAAGGAGTGCAGACCTCTACCCCACTTCCTAGCCCCATGCCGGGGAACACCCCACAATCTGAGCAGCATGCACCTTGAAAGTACAGGAGGGGGATGAGAAAAAATGGCTTGGAATCCTGGCTAGCATGGGGATTAGGAAGATTTTAACAGCAACAGCAGCTGTCACTGACATTGTTACCCCTTTGCTTAGGGAACTTCTTCCACTCTCCCTTCCTCTCTCACTCCAACTCCTCAGTAAAATCCAGGCTCACAACTCAACGAACAGCCCTCCAGCCATTCCCCTGACACTGATGTCAGAACACAATGGTGGTTGGAATTGGACAACATTCAAGGGACCAGGAAACGCCACTGAGGGTCATCCTCTATCTACAATCACTTCCTTGCAAGAAGTGGCCCCAGCTTTGAAGGTTCTCAAGGGACACCTGTGGGATTATGAGGTTTTTTTTTTTAATGACTAAGAACAAGTGAAGGGGTCACGGTTAGTATTTACGCTTGTGCCAAAGAGGCAGAGTATCCCTACGGAGGGTTGTTCTACCATTTCTGGCCTGAAATTGGGCAAAAATGGCAATGGTTGCTGCTGCTCCCATCATAGGGAAGTAATCAAAAAAGAAAGCGAAACTCCTGCAAGAATGGTCCAGCCCTGCCCTCAACTCCATTATCAACTGAGCTTAGAGATGCGGTTCAAGGACATGGGAGCCCCTGAGAAATCACAGTCCTACCCGAGGTAGGTTCTGGCCAAATGCTTCATCTCTTAAGGCAGATGAGAAACACTGGCAAGTTCACAGGCTCTACATTTTCTCTGTAAGAACAACTGAGATGATCAATGGGGCATGATCATCTCATATGAAACCTATCATTCACCTGCTGCAGACCCTTTTCAGCCAGGTAGCGAAATTGGAAATATGGTCAGACCTTAGAAAACGCCCTGAGTGGGGCAAAGTGGGGATATAGTTCAGCTGCAGAATACTGCATAACCCTGGATTTAATCCCAGTACGAAACGAGGGGGTTGGTGGTTCTCTAGGAGAAACTGTGGTCCAGGGCAATTATGCAAGAAAAGTGTGCCTAGGATTTCTTCCTTTTAATAATGCACTAACACCCTCAACTGCCAAGGGACTGGGAACACGGACTAGGCAAGAGGACAATCTGGATTTAACGTCACCAAACTGTCAAGACAAAAGAGTTTCCAACCCAAAGTCAAGGAGACTTACCAAAGTCAAAGAAATCTGTGCTCTCTGGGGGGAAAAGAACAAAGAAGTAATTAACAAATAGATTAATAACAAAAGGGTCAGGGGTTGTATAGGACAGCAACCTACTAGCTGTGATCTCCCTGATGATCACAATTCCCCATTCCCACAGCAAGGGACACAAAGTATCAGGGGATACTCCTCCAAAGGGAGGCTTGACAGATACAGCTCCTGGTCTCAAAGAAGGAGGCCCACCTGGAAGCTAACAACCAAGCTGGTGTCACGGTGAGGCAGACAATTGAGACCCTCGCCACATCCCTGTCCTCAGCTGTCCCTCCTTCAAGGCCACTAGAACACTGGAGATAGCCCTTCAGAGCAGCTCCAGCTACAAGCCGAACATGAACTTCCTTCCCTCAATATGATAGGTCACTGAGAAGTTTGGGAGACCCTCTTCCCCCTAGAATCTTTTTATCATTCATATGGACATGTGCTATCTAAACTTTGACCTATAGAAATGCCTCCCCCAATAATGAAAGCTAATCCTTCACTGAGCCTTAATTATGAGCCAGGAGCTATTCTCCGTGCTTCAGGTGCTAAGCTGTTCAAGCCTTATAATCTCTTAGAGGCCAAAAAGCAGAGTTACAGATATTAACTAATTAAATACCATTCATCTAAAAAGATATTGAAGTTGATTTAAATCTATGGCTGGACTCTTAACCACTCTACCAGTACTGCTCAAACTTGAGCACATAACGGAAGGAATCATCAGAAGGTGACTGGCACCATCCTCCACTGAAAGGAATAAAGATTTCTTAAAAATGGACTACTTCATATAGATAGGACAGGAAAATTGAAAATGTGCTTGGGATAGCCTGTGGCACCAAAAACCAAGAAAGTGCTTAAAGCTATGTGGTCCCGGGAAGAGAAAGCAGGCAGTGACACACGGGTGAAACATTTGATGAGTTGAGCAACAAAACAATTGAAATCATGGTGTGTTGTGGGCTGCACTGTGTTGTCCCGCAGTCCATATGACTACATTGCAACCCCAGTATTCAGAATGTCACTGTATTTGGAGATAAGGTGTGTAAGTGAAAATGAAGCCACTGGGGTCCAGATAAGAAGAGATTAGAACGTGGATGTGCTCAGAGGGGAGGCCAAGGAACGAGGCAGGAAAGACAGCATCTGCAAGCCAAGGAGAGAGGCCTTGGAGGAAAGCAAGCCTGGCAACAGCTGGTCTCAGATTCCCAAGCTCCAGAACCATGATTAAAAATGGATTTCTGCTATTTAAGATACCCGGTCTATACCACTTTACTATGACAAATCCAGACAACAAATACATGAACTGCAAAAAAACACCCACAAGTCCTTTATATATACAAATGTATACTTGAACACATGAGTGGGAGAAGCTCTTCTTCACAGTAGAATTCCAACTAATAAAGGGAAGGAGGGAAACAGAAACCACTATCATCTGGTAAATAATACAGTGATGATTGCTTGGGCAAGAATCATCAACGAATGTTAAAATTACTGTATGAAAAGATGGTGGGAAACGAGCTATTTGTCCCTTCTCAAATCCTTATTGTGATTGTGAAATAGGTCACTGTGCAGTGGAGGACCCTGGCAAACAGCATCTTGACCAAGTGATAAAGTTGACCTCAGCACTGATAAGCCATATCAACACCCTGCATTCTTCAACAGGATGGACCCAGAAGGGTGGAGAAATACTTTCATAATGCTCTCATAAAAAGAAAAGAAAGGAAAAGAAAGGATAAAAAAATGTAGAACTGGAATTTAATCATAAGAAATAAATATGATGAAGTCTGTAACAACTAGAAACTTTTCTTCAGAAGATCACTGAGGACCTATCCCAGAATCAAAGGACCTGAGGTTATGATATGGCAACTAAATTAGATGTCTAATCCTGGGTGGGATCCTACAAAATGCAGGACACTGATAGGGCTGCTGATCACATGTCAACAGTCTGTAACTCAGATAACACTGTTAAGCCAACGTCTGTGTCCTGGTTTTGAACACCGTATTGTGGCTGAATGAGACACTGACATCTGTGGAGGACAAGTGCAGGGTAGAAGAAGGATCTTTGCAGTGTGTTGTAACTTTTGCTCTTTAAGAGCCCGAGTTATTTCAAAGTGAAGCGAAATCAGATCAGGACTGGTAGTCCTCAACCCAGAGTTTCTGACTTAAAGGTCTGCCTGCGTCTTAAAGGAGTGTACAGTGTTGCTGAAGATGGAATCCAGGGCCTCACACATGATAGGCAAGCCTTCTGCTACCAAACCAGCAGGCCCTGGTACATTCTAGGCAAATCCTTTACCACTGAGCCACACCTTCAGCTCCACACTGACACACTCTAAACAAATCCTGTACCACTGAACCATGGCCCCAGCACTGAGAATTTACCTAAATTCTCAGGCGAGAGTGCTGTTGCCAATCCCTCTGGAAGCTACTTCACCACAACACCAACCCCCCTGTCACAAGCCTGCCAGGCCCTGAAATACAAGAACAAATCTGGCTGGCTCATCAGCTACTTCATTCATTCATTCCCTCATTCATTCACCATGGTCCTCCACTTCCCAGAGCCTTGGTCAAGCCCTTTTAGGAACTGTAGCCACCAGGCCACTAAATATGAACCAGTAGGCTTTTGTCTATAACTATTTACAGAGAATAGGGTGGCTTCTGTGGAGTCCATCAGAAAAGGCCCATTTTTAGTAACTGTTGTCTGGCTGGATTTTTTGCTGTCTGTCTGCATAGTTGTGGGGATGATCTGGCTTGGGGAATAATGGAGGAAAGGGGGGCTTTAGCATAGGCTTCGGAGCATGAAAAGAGAGAAGAGCCAGATTAATCAACAGTATCCACTTATTTTATATTTCTCAGCGGGCTCCCATTTATTAGAGAATATTTTTCCAGAAGCCAAATATTTCAGCCAAATGTTTGAACCCTGTCATCTCAAAATCAGTCTGATTTTGAAGAGAAATCACCAAGTCCTTTTCTGGAGCCAGGCAGCATGCATACATGCAGGAAGCATGTGAGCTTCAGGAAATGGTGACATGTTGGCAATTCTCTAAACTTAGCAGGAAAACACACATTGGTGCAGGAAAAAGAAATAATAAGAATTGTCCTTCCTCTGACTTTTACCACAGGCTGGGACAAGGATAGGAGCAGCAGGATCAGGACTGGGCAATAGGTGGATGCATATGCTTCCTACAGCCCCAGACAATAACTCTCCAAGAAGCACCCTTCCTGTGGACTAATATTAACCACAATTGTGTGTGTATGTGTGTGTGTGTGTGTGTGAGAGAGAGAGAGAGAGAGAGAGAGAGAGAGAGAGAGA